AATTAGAAAATTTCAAATCATTCTAAAAAAATTATTTTTGGCTGCGGAGGTCAATTATAATCATTTTTGGTGAATAGACATACTCCAAAATTCCTACGCAGTTTCGAGAAAAAAAAATTCCTTACCAAAAATATCATTTCAGGCCAGAAATGTCACTCCGAAATTTCATGCATATGTCTAAAAAGTCATGACTTCTGGACGGATCGAAGGATTTTAATGTTTCAGAGTGGAAACAGCGCTTATTTTGGAATGAAATTAATCTATTGAAGCCCAATTTTGGACCGTGCAGCTTTCATTTAGTTAAGAGAGAGTAAAATTTCTGCATTTTCATTTTCTATGTCACTTCCTCTTGAGTTAATTTCTGTAACTTGTTGATAATGTTTCGAGTGATACGAAAATGGTAATGGGGGTCTAAAGCCTCATAAAAATGGGCCGAAAGAATACATTGGATTTAAGGTCTATTCGTATACCTCGTCTGTGGTATTGTATTTAAATACTGTACAGATCTGGTTGCGATATGTTTGATTCCATCTGTAAGTGGAGTGTGTCACGCAATTGGGACGTGTCATGTATCCTGTTTCATTTAGGATGAATAAAAATTGTGGATAAGATTGGAAATTGATATGACAAGGTCTATTGTTATATAACTCCACTTTTTTCATAATTATAACAATACGCTTGCAACCTGCAATTGTACTAAAGTTACATTTTTTGGGTAAATTGTTGTAGTTACAAAAAAACTGAGGTCGTGGACTTTGTTGTATCATTGGACGTTTTTTAAAGTGGGAGAAGGATGATTAGTGGGAGGTCCATAAGTCAATTCTTTCTTTGACCGGACTATAAATCTCGTACACAAAACTTTTTTAAAGCCACATTCATAAATCTTTCATCTCTTCAGTCATACTGGTGGGTACATGTACGTTGTTTACCAATAACGTTATGAATAATTATTCATAATTTAATTTCCCAATAATAAAATACAGCGTCGCGTCGTCACAAAACTGATAAAACTCACACCATGGGTAAATATTGGTTTGAATTTTTATTTATTTCAAATAAAATAATTCGTCCTCGAAAAGGTACATTTCATGTTCCATATAACATTTAATATTTCCTTTTATTTACGTTATATTACTTACGAAAAATAAAACTAAAGTTAAACTACAAATGATAATTCAAAGTATCTAAACAGCTATTTATAATTAAAAATCATATATAAATTATAATAAATTGATGTTTCGCTGAATTTTTAATCGTAGAGCATACCTTACAATTTACTAAATCCATTTTGTAATATTATACTGCTTTCATTCCAAAGTGATCGATACTGTATATTTAAATACAGGTCATCGACAAGTTCAAATCGTGATAATAATTTCAACAGATATTTATAATGTATGACACGTTTCCTATATGTCAAATCTACTGGAATGTCAATCGTGGTATTTTTGCTCCGGAAGTTAAATTGAACAATTTTATAATAGAATTTTAAAATCGTTAATCTCGTATAACGTGCATAAAACGGTATTGGCTACTGTGAATTTCTTTTCCCGCCTATTAAAATGTTAATGAAACAACAGAAATTTAATATTAATAACGAACATTCCAATCTTGTATGTTTTAAGGAGTCTTCATGCTTATCGTACTAGTTAGGCACGTATGTGTTGAAATTTGTATGACATTTCGTGACTGCAAGCTAATCAGTTAATTTCATGAATAACTTTAATCAACCCAGTTGCCCGGAAGATAAGTCAAACACTTCTTCCATGACTCATAGCAATATTATACTTACATGTAACAATATATTATATACATATAAGTCCAATGTACCAGATAACAATTTTGTGGCACGTCATAATCAACTCTTTACTACGTTTTGATGCAAATTAATTCAACAAAATTGTTTAAATATGAACGCAGATTTTCTTACAATTTTACAAAATATTGCTACAGATTCAGCATTATTCACGTTGTAATAAATTCTGCGTCATTTAGAATCAATGTTATAAAAGTTTCTAAATTATCTGTAATTGATATATAAAATAAAAGTACATGCACTTTTTAATTCCGCCAAAATAGATAAAACAAAATATTAAACTTTCCGACAGAACAACTATTATAGCAACGATAAAATGTGTTTACAGAAATCATATTTAAATTTTAGGTGTAAGTTTCGATTTACCCATCAATATTTTTTTGCTTTTCAACGACAAAAATGTAACTCAATAATGACGAATACTGTTGAAATAAAAGAAAAAAATATTTTTAACAAATTTGCAACGTATGCGATAATTATTAAAGGGAACCATAGTTGGAAAAATACTGGTATCCTATTATGGTCTCGAAGTTGATAATACGCGGCCTTAAAAACACATAAAAGCGAACGTAAAGAAAGATAGATCGAGTTTATTAGCCAGAAGTTATAGTGAGTTAAGGAGGGTAAACGGAGATGATCTCAACCGATTATCTGGTTTTACTGTTAGAATCCATCGAGGGTGAAAATTTGAAATAAAAAGGCGGCACGCAGTCACGAAACCTCGAATGCTTCGTTGGCTGTTCTCATTGATCGAATCGTGAAAAAATAATGGGCTGAAAATAAAGAGACACTTAAACGGTCGTGTAACATATTCAACGACTACGGTATTTATCGAAGAATTAGATATTCATGCGTCTCTGATAATCAGATCGGGAAATCTATTTACCCTGTATTTTTTGAATAATTAATAACTTTCAGTGATCATGCTGTAGGAACGGTTTAGCGTGCTTCGAAGTGGAATCTTGATCTTTTTCTGTTCAGGTTCAACATTATTCATTGTGAAAATAGAATTATTGAAACAAAATTTCTTTATTTTAAATAGTCTGTCAATTAGTCTTTCAAGGTAATTTTAAAGAAATATTAACGAAGGTGAAAACAAGGTTAGATTATTAATAGCATATAGCGGTAGCGTGACACATACTTATCTTTACTTTTACCTACTACTTAACCCGATATGTACTTCGTTTCTGTTTATACCAAATAAAAGCATACTGTTATTATTTAGGAGAGTGCATTTTCGGCTAGTGTTTAATATGTTAATAAACTGTTCCAAAATCAATAATCCCTACCGAGTAACTAATAACCCATTCGTGTGGCTAATGAGACTACAAGCAATTAAAACGAAAATTGTACAATTTTTTACGCGCTTACGTGAGAATTAAAAATATCAAAGTAATGGTTATTTTACCACGAATATTTCTAATATCACTTAAACATTTTCAATCATAAAATTCGTCTTCTTAAAAAAAAAAACAAAGCAACAAAAATTCTTACTACTTTGTGCTATCGAATTGCAATTAAAAACAACTTTTGGGAGTAAAATTGTTGTCACCTTATCTTATGAAATTACATATATATTTCGTGTCTGAATATTGCCAAAAATATTTAAAGCTTTAAATTAAAAATCCTCGTGCTTAAATAACCATTACATTGATGTCTTTCAACGAAAAGAAGGATAACATTGTTTTACATCGCTCTCAGTCCCCAACGTTCAATTATTTGTTCGCCCCTTCGAAAAACTTTGTTCCGTCGTTTCTCTTCCCCGTCGCTGTCAAGACGTTCCCGACGTTATGTATTTATAAGCTTCGAGTATTGCGTCAGCTCTTTGTCATGTCGTCAAACGATCCAGGACCGACGTTATTGGTTCGCCGACGTTTTTACGATGTCTCGTTGCAGTTAAAGGAGCCTTGTAAAGTGTTTTTACGACGCGCGCTTCTCAACTGGCGTGCCGCGGATAGAGCAGCCTTTTTCTAGACGCGTCGTCGACCAACGAAATGAAAGCATCAAAATTGAAAACCGTACAGCCAGCCAGAATTCATTCGTAGCTCGACAGAAATAATTGACTAATTTCAACGAGAACTACAGTAATCCTCGCATTCGTGACCCAAATTTACTCCGGTTTCAAGAGCCGGAATAATTCACACTACTGTTTGGGGGCCTATATACTGCTAACAACACGTCGAAAGAGTAACTTATTGACCTCAACTCGAAATAAAAATCACTGCTGATGCGGCTTTCAACTAAATTAATAATCTCCATTTTGTTTCTCGAACGCGTGAACTACGCCTGGAAAAATATTCAATAATTTCATTAATATTTCTGTACGATACTCAATTATTTTCATCTTAAAATTAATTATTTTTAAAATAATGTAAGCACTCGGTACGATGACAATTTTTTTTTATTTAAATTTTCACATTTATAAATTAACAGATATCCACATTTATAAATTATTTCCTTCTTTTATTTTCTTTTATAGATATCGTTATTTGTAGCACGTCTCACTATTACTCATTGTTTCTACTTACGCTGACGTCCACGTCCGACTCTATTACACTCCTAACTACTGAATTTTCAAAGTCGATTTTCTCAAAAATGAATCCTCCTATGACAAAATATCATTGTACGTTGTTCACTTACCTTTCCACGTAGAATCATTGGAAAATATTATAATAAATACCATTTACAAGCAAACTCCAAACGCGTCAAACTTGTGTAAGTTTTAACTACGACAAATTTTGCTTTTTCTTTTACATTCTCTTTTTAAAATTGCTTAAGATCTTATTCAGAACGAGGTGTCAAATGCTCGAGATCACTTTGATATATTTAAGTTCCTTAAACACAAGCATTCGTTAACATCGTTAGAGATATTAGTCGTTTGCGCTTTAGCTTTTGCTAAAATCAGTCAACTGGTTTGTACGAATGAATTCTGTCCGATTGTGCGATGTTCGTTGAGACTGTTTCAGCCTAGAAACGGGCTGCGACCGATCGCTTCGCGGATTCATGAAATTCATAAGGCTTGTTCAGGCTTGTTCCTACTTCACGAAATTATGTTAATCCGATCGGCGCCGATTTCGACGACAACGGAGATTACCAGTGTCACGGATCGTTTGCACGAACCACGCTAACCCCAGACACGGACCGAGTTTGGCCTACTTTTTATGCGAGCATTACGTGATTACAGGATCCAATCCCGGAATGATGATCCGCGACTATCTGATGCTACTCTCGTGGCTGTGCGCGGTGCAAGGAAAAATAGGTAAATGCATGCATGTACATTGTGACTGTATCTTAAAGAGTTACACCAGGTTAGTGGCATAAAATATTCATGGAAGTTCAAACATTTATTGCAGTGAATCACGTTCGCGGATCTTGCAATATACGAATGTACATACATTATTTATGAAATACAAAAACGTTTTGAGTAGACCAGTGTCTCTCGTATGAAAGTGGAATTAAATTACAGTATATTAAAAAACTCTCTGAAAATTTTTATTCAATATAAATGGATTCATGTTTCTTAATTTAAACTTTACGTTGTTGGCTAAAACAATGCTGCCGCCACGAAAGTGTGGAAAATTTGCATTTGTTTGAAAAAGAGATATCACTGGCCCTCAGACACCCATATTGTGGTACTAACCAAAAATGGTTTTATGTTATGAATAAAACACTCTAGTTGCATGAAATCAATCAAAATGTTCCGAATAGTTCGTGAATGTCCGATAGTAAGAAATGAGAACTTTCGACGCTGCAGAATTTAGCTTCTCTAATTTTCATGAGCCAGAGGAAAGCACAGAACCAATCTTTTACTACGGTCTAAATCAAGAACTACTAACGGATACGGAGATTCGTGCAAGTTAATTTTAGATTAGAAAATTTGAAAACATATAAATAAATCTGTTTCGTTTCTTGAGATTTCCTACTGATTTAACCTTTGAACTCCCCTGTAGCGTTGTAGCGAGCGCGTATACGCGCGTGTGACGCGCAACGACAGATGTAAATTATTAAAACGGGGAAACTTTTGTCGAATGTGGATCGTTGTTCCTTGAGCGTAATCGGGCGAGAATGTATTCGTCAGTTGTACGTTAACTTCGCCGCGTATGGTTAATTATGGATAGGATTAACAAACCACTGCGAAGCAAGCACTACGTAAGCATTCTAAAATACGCTTACAAACGACAGTATCACGTTGACTCAATTTTGTGTCCCGATTTTAGGAGTGTAGAGTATCGTTTTGCAATGGGATGTTATTAAAAGAGAAAATTATTGGGTTAAGCTTATTTCTCTATCCCTATAACGCCCACTTGGAAACAGTAGAGTAAATGTAGATGATATATACCCAACGCTTTTTCAAATCACTGTTATTTCCCACATTTTTTAACAGAAGACATTTTTAAAACATAACTTTTTACAACGTGGCCAACCATTTTGTAATTTTTAAGTGATTTTTAACTTAGATATTTAGGATAATTTTTCGTTCTTGTTTCGAAATTTTGAAAATGAGAATTTACACAAACATTACAGAATTAAAGCAAGGTTTAACAATTTTGTTACATTTCTTGCATTGCAATGTCTCTTAAAATGGGTTCCGTACAATGCCTGTTGAAGTTATAAGCTAGCCTCGTTTTTAGAACTATAAGATTTCATTTTGCAGTGAAATACTTTTAAACGAGGAGATTATTGATCTGGACTCATTTCTTTAACCCCAAAACACCAATAAGAAACAGGTTGAATAAACTCCAACGTGTTTAATATATTCCAATATGCAACCTTTGCTTGAGGTTTTTGCATAACTTTTTCGATATTAAATACGTGCCAAGCAGAATATTAAAAATATTTAACGATATTCAAGTCAACATTTTCTGGTATGAATACAGCCCTAAAAGTTTTCTTTTGAAGATTTCTGATTAAAAAACCATGGCTGTAAATTGTGTGTCAGGTCTTCAGATTTATCCCATAGTATGCTTTATTAAAAATACGACTAAAACGTTTTGAATTCAAATTCTTCTTCGAATTCAAAAAATATCTTTCGAGTAAATACGTGTCATTTAAAATAAATACCACTTTGGTTCTATATTTATGATCATTAGCGAAGTTATAAGTTACAAGTTCTCCTTTACATTTATATGAATATAGTCAAGAACCTTTGGAAATGTTCTCGTTACAACTCGGAAAGCTCGGTTTAGTTTATCGGTAACGGTCCAAGAAACACTAATACGTTACCCAGCATGAGTTGCTCGAAATTCTATACGATAGCTTCTTTTAACCACTGGAAACTTTCATTACATTTACCGTGATCTCACAAATAAAAATCAGATAGAGGGAGGTTCAGTGATCCTGGTGGCCCAGCTATCCGTAACGGCCGATCCAATACTTGTACCATACATTTAACTCTCTTAACCTAGAGTATACGATCTTTCGTGCATTAACAACGTTTCAAGAAATTTTACGCGTACGAACAATCGTTACTGTGTTTGAATTAATTATTTTACGAGAAAGAATTAAATTGAAATTTAAATATAAGAGTATCCAAATATAATTAATGTTTCTGAAGAATGGAATTCGACGAGAGCAATAGTTTTCTCTTTAAAGAAATCCCAAATATCGTTCAGTTTTTACATCTCAGACCCAGAGAATTTCTTAAACGATTGAAGAGTTGAAACACCGTGTATTACAAGATCAGTGAAACGACCAAACAATTTAGTATCGACCTTCGAAAAGCTTATCGAATTCTTCGAGAAAAACGTATCCCTTCGATCCATAAATCAAATACGATTGCTTGTTTTGTTGAAAGTATCCGTCGTTGATTAATATCAACAGACCTCGGTGAACGAAACAATCAAGAGGTCGCGTGTTTCTTTCGTGTTCGTATTCCGTTCTGTTCGACCCGTTTGTTTCAACGAATCTAACCTCTCTGTCGGATCGATCTACGCTCTAATTACCTTGCAAAGTAGCCCCGCCTCGTTCAGCCTCCCGCGAAAGGGGCTGCCGTGCAGTTAATTTAAAACAATCCGCGTTACATCAAGAAATCGAATGCACTTCAATTCAATCCTCCTGGAAATTTCCACTTCCTCCGGAGGGGCAGGGGCGAGGCACGGTACCTTTCGTTTCTTTTTTTATTTTCACGGGGGAACGACGCCCGTTGTCGTTGTCGTTTCGTTTCGTTCCGTTTCCGTGATTGCACAGACAAAGCGTCCCCCCGACGCGACGTTACATCAGTTTACAGGGGCTAACCGTAGGAATGAAAGAGAGAATGCAAATGCGACGCGACGGATGCAAATAAAAGCCAAAATACAGAAACTACGACCTCGTTTCTCTGTTTCCAGGGTATTTCTGGCACATCACCGACATCCACTATGACCCCAAGTATTCTACCCAGGGAAACGCAGCGAGCAGTAAGTAGTCCCCGTGTCGGACGTACGTACGAAGAACCGCCCTCCGCATGCACTGCACGCACACCTCTTCGCGAACTATAGCCCTTTTTACTCGCCGGAGAACACTGAGAGACGCCGGATACCAGATTTTGACCTTACGATTCGTACGAACCGTCAAACGTGTCCGTACGTCTTTAAAATGAGAAAACAACCCTCGTTACAGAATTCATCTTGACCTACAATGTTTAAAAAGAAATATGTACGGTCACATTCGAAAAAACCCAAGGTGGATTTCACTATGACAGGAATCTGCTTTCGAAACTTTTATTATTGTCGTCCGTTGTACAATAGTTGAAAAATCAAGTGTCCTGTTACAGGATGCACAATATAGCAAAATGGTCATTTTGCATGATAAAACGAATCGAAAATATGGAATAAGGTTTATTCGCGGAGTCGTTGTTTTTGAGGTAACTGATGTTGGAAATTCATTAGGTACGCTCGTGCAATTGAATGCGATTTATTTAACGCGTCTGCTCAACAATCGTTATTTCTACTTGCGTTGGGCGTTTGTAAATGTTCGTATTGAAAGAGAATGAATTTTAACCGGTTTTAATTACTTTGTATATGGTAAGATCCATGCAGAACGAATAATACTATTAAATGTTTGATACTTTCGTCGCGTGTCAGTGATCCATTATTATTTGAAAGTATGTAAAAGTAAATTCTTGATTCTTTTACAAAAATGTATTATCGGTCGATTAAACCGAACACAGCGTTATTTCATGCGTAAAACAACGGCACGAGAAGCAATTTGCGACCCGCGATCGCTACACGCTGCGAAAGTGTTAAGAACACCAACGCAAATAGAAATAACGAGTAATGGTCAGACACGGTGAACCAAGCGTACTGAATTCTACTCTCATTCCAGGTACATGAATTTTCTCGAAAACGAAGCGTCATATGGAAAAATTTTATTCCGTATTTTCGATCCGGTTTCCTATATAGGGTGATGATATTTGTGAAACTTTCCGGTATTATTGGCTGGCGTTAAAATTGTATTTATTAAAAGTCTTCCGAACAGTCATGGTATTAGAAAAGGACGGAAATATCTACATAATCTTTCTTCGGTTTATAAGGATACAAAGGGTTGAAAAATGAATACTAATAAGGTTTCACAAGCAACTTTATTTTGAAAAAATAAATTACATCACGATGTTATTTTGCCACGAGTACGAAAGTTAAATTAACGCGAGTAAAGTAGGTGTTCCATGACCCGAAAATTGATCGAACAGTTGCGTCCTACTATTAGATAATGGAGGTTCCATTGTACTAACGGAACAACAGCCAAGTAGTCGTAGCAGAAGTTATGGCAGGCCTAGCCACATTCGGTCTCCAGTGTTCTTCGGGCATCGAGCCTATATCCTGTATTTACCGAACGTTTTAAAGTACCTGGCGTGTCTAGCTGGCACGAGACTAGCATGAAGTAGCAGTACTTCAAATTGCGTCCCCATACCTTAGCCCAACCTCTGACTCCGTGTCATTTGGACGTTAGCGGAGCGGTACGTGACCCGTCCAGTGTGCTTTTTCCTTAAAGGTCACTCTTTCCCACGTTCACCACCGTGCCGCCCCTCCGTTCGCCAGACGGACGGGGCTTCTTTTGTGCAACCCCGTGTCTTGCATACGTGGCGTTTCAACTTGGTCTCAGCCGTCTCGTTTGCCCCGTTCTTTTCAGTGTGCTGGAACACAAGGAGCAGCGGCGATAACGGGCGGATACGGGCCAACAGAAAGCAGGCAGGAGAGTTCGGCGACTATAGCTGCGATTCACCGTGGGCCTTGATCGAATCAGCGGCGAGGGCAATGAGATCGCATCGCGGCGAAGGAATCGAATTTGTCCTCTGGACGGGGTAGGTTGTACGCCCCCGCAGACGGCCGCCTCTGGTCGTGAGGAACGAGCTGCTATCCCCACGGTCGATTAATCGCTTTACCGCCGACGCCGGATAAGAATCTCGCGAGGAATTATGTTTGCCGGACATTAATTGGATGGTAATCGCGGCGTAGGAAATTCAACTAACCGAATCTTATGGGGATTATCGGCTCCGAGACGCCGCGTTATTGAATCACGGGATCCTCGGGCCGTTTAAAAGGCGTTTGATCGTCGTTTGACGCGCTCCGCCTATCGGAACAGAGGCACTAGATTTCATTCCAACTTTTTTACGTTTATCTTTGGTCCAGAAATAAGTCGCTCTTACGTTATTTATTCATTATACGGGTAAAAATTCATTAGTGTGCGAGGGAAAATATAATATTTTTACATTCGTGGCAGAGAACAGTGCTTATAGATAAAAATAGAATATAATACGAGTTATGTTACACTAAATTTTTCAGAACACTTATCCTGAAAATGGTTTTAAGCAACGTGTGAATAATATTGATCGCATAAATGTTCGATATATTTTTATTAATAACAATTTTACAATTAACCGAATTTTACAGAGATTATTCAATCATCGGGATATTCAAGAGGCATAGGCATGGAATTTAATTTTATTTTGAGATTGCTGTTTATTTTTAGTCGAGGAATAAGTCACTATTCTGTTACATTACAAAGTACAAGAGAGTATGTATTAAATGCACAACGTTTCTCATGTATTTGTTACTCGATTCGTTACTTGAGGATTTCTCGGCGTTTGACAGTTAATATTGGCGGTTGTAAGCCGTGTCCTTCGAAGAAAGTGTTCCGACGTTTTGCCAGCTTCAGGGGTCGAATAAAGAGAAAAATATCCATTAAAAATGGAATAAATGTTTATTTTTTTCTTTCTAAAACATTTACCACATTTACGCCACGTGTTTCAATAAAATGCAAGCCAGTGACAGTTAATTTGAATAATCATTCTGTTAGTCCGAAACAAATGTAGCTGCTGTTTGATTTATTTTTATTCAAAGTTGAAATTACAGCAGAAAGTGAAGCAGACAAGTCTCGGATCGCTTAGTCGAGCATCAAATTTTAATCAAGGAATAATTGTTCGAGTAGCAGTACTCGGAAGCAATCAGTAAATTGGTTGATAAATCAAAACAATATTGATCGATGCTCAACGCAAAGTACCGAGAACTAATTTGATAATTGTTAATTCGCAAACTCGAGAAACAAGAACGCAATGAACCATAAGGATTTGTGTTTGTGCGACGCAACATAGGAACGGCCGCGTATCCTGTATAAATTAAACCGTACAAACTACTAGTTTAATGGAGTTTCATCAATTTATCGGGGATGCAATTGCAAACGTCACTGCACTTCAGTATAAATTGTTGGAATAATCAGTAATCCCGTTCGCAATAGCGAAATCTAATAAAGACTGTTTAATGCTAATATAATTCTGTTATCCGTGTTGCTTGCTTATAGAATACCTTTCTCTCGTTATCGTAACGAAATAATCGATACAGACGTCATATTTAATTACATTTTGAGATATTATTCCTATAGTTTTAACGCTTCTGCGCTTTACACTACTAATATTTTATATGAAATTAGATTATCAAATTATTTTTTTTCAAGTAATATTAATGTTTTCATTTTAGTAGTATTTAAACAATTTTCCTCGAAGATCATTTTTGTCTATTATTTTAAAGAAAACTCCAAAGTTATATAAATTTACTCATACAAAACAGAAGGTTTTACAATTTTTTCTATTCGGCCATGAATAAAAAAAAAAATTATGTTTCCTGCTGAATAAAATATTTTTAAATATACCCTACGTAGAAAATAAAATGTTAATTTTGTAGAAAGGATGATTTGCCATTAAATAGGTATATTAAGAATTGTTATAGCCAATGGAAAAAAGCGTAGCTACGTGAAAGTTATGAAGTTTTCTGAACTATCCTAAGTTCATTCGTGGTCGATTCGAAAGTTTCAGGCGTTCCGAATTCATTTCATCAATATCGCGTTTTATCGTCAACGTATAGTACAATGGTGGTACTGCACGGTTGCACGAACAACCTAGATTTTTCGATAGAATCGTACACGAATTCTACAAATGTTTCAACTTAGTTTTCGCAATTTACAACAATCCTCTTCCAGAACTTTCAATTTAGCATCGTGTTTTCAAATGGTTTAGCTTAATCTTACACGTACGTACTTCACTGAGTTTATATTTCTATCGATAAAAAGAATGTAAAAATATATTACTCGTAAAGTTTGATTCGATTTTCGAAGTAAAATGGTTATCAGAAAATGGTATTATTTTCTGGAATTTCTTTAGTGGCGGAATACTGTTCATCTCAGAATACATTTAAAGAACCTGTATTACATTTATTATAATTACACATTATACATTAACAATCTCGTGCGAAAAGTTAAATTCTAGCGACTAAATAATAATAAGAATATTACAAAAATTTACTATGCAACTTAATATCTACAGTTTTGAGCCAAGAAAATAAATAAATTTATGAATTGGAAGCAACCGTAGAATTAAACGAGATTTACGAAAATTAAACGACGCTCGTCTATGAGGAGAAAATCGAATTTTTGGTGGCTTCAGTCACTGCTATCTTTCTAATGGCGTTTCAGTAAATCGCATTTTAAACTTTGCAGGTTGCCGATTAAGTTGTAGCGACACGTGTGCTCACGCGATACCTGCCGCTGCCTACTTTCCTCTATTTATACCATTTCACTCCTCGACCCTTAAATTTCACAGTTAAACGTTTCATTTCGTGTTTCGAGTTTCGTTCCATAAATTCTACGACACGTACCCGGTGGATCTAAAATATCAAAAGTGCACGGAGGCCCATTCGTTACGCAACCCCTATGATTTAAAGATCCCTTTCTTTCGATAGAAAGGCGGCGGGCGCGAGAACCGACGATTATCGCCAGATTTATCGAACTCTGAAAATATGACGTCCCAGAGCCGAGCGAAATTTAATACGCAAAACGAATTGCCACTAATTTTGAAACGGGAAATTCACTTCGCTAAGAGATTAAATCACGGAAATCTTACTAATGGCGCGCCACTAAATTACAATTAGTCCTTGGAGGTTATCAATTAAGGAAGAATTCTTGCTTTTCCGATCAATTTTTCAAGTCATCCCCTGAGAATTGTTTTACGAAAAATTATAAAACGTACAAATTTACGCTTTTATTTTCAAAGCTTCGTCTTCATTATTATTAATATAGCGAGTTGAATTTTTCTGTGCTGAAAACTTATTTCATCACGATGGCAGTGATTGCGACGCTTCTAGTCATTAATGTCAGTTAGATCAAACTTGGAATTTAACTGTACGAGCTTGACCATCATTCGTATAAGAATTAAAATATTAGAATGATTTTTTCATAAATGATTGATCGATAAAGTGCCTTCTCTTTTGATATTTTTTTAATTTCGTGACCTGAAAATATCGTAAAGTTATAAAAGTTCGGGTCTATTTCTGTTGCCAGTACCAAAAATGTATTTTCGAGGAACGGTTTAAAGTTTTAGACGAAATTAGCAACCATCTGGATACTGCATTCGTTATATCCGCACAACTTGAGCAATTTTTAGACTTTTGCCTTAATATTGTATCAAGATATTCTTGAACATCTTTAAGGGTCCATTCTATCTTGTAGGCACGAAAAATACGTTTCTTTGTGATTTTTTTGGGGGGGCTATTAAAGAGCGATTAATTTCGGGTTTTGTAGATACATTTATTATATACTTAGCTATATTTACGAATTTTTGCAACGCATAATATCTATTGATTACGTTTTTTTTGTTGATCAATAAACAACAGTTTTTACGAACGGCGCCCGATTGCGTATGTAATAACTTGCGAACAAGTTATCCGAAATCCAAAAACCAGCGATATTCTTAATATAGATGAGTGTGGTTATAGCATGAACTAGGATTGTTTCAAAAAAACAAAAAATGGCAGGTATTTTACGAAAAAATACTGAATAGTTTCATATATTCGGCAGCTTTTTTATTAATAAAAGAAAAAGTATTGCATATATCGCAATTATCCTAGTTCATGCTATAGGAAGACCAGTTCTAAAGATACTGTATAAATTACATGATGATATCTTGAATAGTTTTTTTGTTATCACATATGCAGTGCCGAAAAATAGCTTTAAAGTTTCAGCATGCAATAACTTCTTTAATTTTCGAATTTCAATTTAATATTTGGTAGATATATTTTCGAGACTACATACTAAAAAAAAACGCAAAAAAAAATTCAATTTCTTTAATCCCACAAAGTTGAAAGACAACTTAAAGTTTTACGTCCAGTTATACCTGCGCATGGTACATTACAGCGTTCTATAACTTCGTTAATTTTCCGAATTTCAATTTAATATTTTGTAGATATATTTTCGAGACTGCATACTAAAAGAAAACGTAAAAAAAAATTCGATTTTTTAAATCCCGCGAAGTAGAAAGTCCCCTTGAGCTTTCAGAATATGCAACAAAAAATAATTCTTCTTTAAATAGGAAGAAACCCCTTATCTTCTAGCGACAGATGAGCACACGCAGTGTCTGCGACTCCTCCGCTTATTATTCACGATTATCGTTTGGATCTTTAGACTTTCAGTGCCACGTTTTAAATTCGCTCAATCTTTAACGTTTCCAGAACTCCAAAGTAAAATTACTATTTTTGTTACTTCAAATATTATATTATTCGATAATAAGTAATGGAAGTAGGGGTAGGAATTTGTTTAATGCAAAAGAAATGTAACCAATTTTATGAAGAGGATTATGTAAAATCAAACAAGCGTCGCAAAACTAAGCGGCAGTTACTTTTACGAGCAAAACCCAGTTTTTAAAGGGCTTCAATCGTGTTCCAGTGAATCGCTATTCAAACTACACTGGTTGCTTATCCAATTATAGTGGCATGCAATATCTACGATTTCTCAAGTTACATTTCTTCGTTGTTTCATCATTAATGCTATTAGTACATTATTAATGTTAACTGATGTCTGCTTTGGTGTATTTCCTAGATAATTGAATATTTCAAGGTTTACTTGGGAAATATAAGGTGCGCACCATGTGGTACGTTCCGCAGTAGCTTATAATTGGACAAATGCACCATATGGTGTACTTTACAGATAAAGGGTTACATGAAGTCTTTGACCCGATTTAGCAAATTGCAATTAAACAAACAGTCCAAAGGAATCGGGGTTCAACAAATTTATTTATCTTTTAAATGCAATAGTAACCAGTTTTCATAATGTTGCTAATTACATTTTAACAAATCCGGATTAAAACTTTAAGATCTTTGCAAGTTTTTGATCAGATTACGACAGTTTCTTGCCTTTCTAAACTTAGGTAAAACTGACGCAATTTTAAATTCGAATTTAGATTCGAGAGAGATTTAAAATAAACGCGGAAGAAATCATTATTGATGAAACAATATATTTTTTCGAGAAAATCGACAATTGCAAAATCGATTAGTACGACTCGAACGTCGATGCGAGTAGAAACGTCGAATAACGAACGCATTAAACAGACCGTATTCGGTTGCAACTACAATCCTCGAATTCAATTATCGCCAAAACGAAGCATCGTAACCAACAAAATGTTACGGTTCACGTTTAATTTAGTTTTCCAGACAGGGTCTCTTGCAAACAGGTTATAGTCTATAAAACGAACCGCTGAGCGAAAATAGAATACTGGCAACTGAAATGAAATTTATGCTAATAAGGGACCCACACGTGGACCAAAGGTAGAGTCGAACGGTGACGCCGGTTACGTGTAAACTTACTGAATATTAATGGTAATAAAGTTTCGGGGTCGAAACGAAGTGGCAGCGACACGTGCGCGATATCGTTTCTTCGTGTTTACCAGTGAATCGGAGTAATTCTCGCAGCCCTCGTCGTATGTAACCAGTACTAACGAGGTTGTAACTACTTGTTGCAGTGACGCGCTGACGCGCACCGCTGGCATGAGCGCCGAGCTGCGTCTGCAGTGTTTGCGGAATTTGACCGATCTGTTGTCTCGCACGTTTAAGGAACAATTTGTGTTTCCGGCGCTCGGACACGAGGACATCGGAGTAAGCTTCTCGCAGCTCGCTGTGTTCTGGCAGCAATGGCTGCCGCAGGAGGCTTTGGACACGTTTCAAACCGGTGGGTATATCGAAGCGTTCTGATTGTGCTCTCCACGGGTTTTCGTAGAGCACGGACCCGGAATTTCTCCGCGCAGCGAGCGAGACGTGTCTTGTAATGGTAAACACGGCTTCGGGAAAGTAATACTGGGAATCGGATTAAATCAAGAGCTCGGTCTGCCGGAAGACCGAAATTTTAGACCGCCGGGCTTTTCGTCTCGGGGCTTTAACATTTTTCGGTTACGTTTCCGGACTACTCTAGATTGTACAGCCATCTCGAAACAAAACAACCGAAGGAGTTCGATAGATGGAATGGCTACGTCCGGTGGTAATCGTGTCAAGATATTTTCGTACGTTTTCAATATTTTGCGATTGTATTAATAAATCGGTTTTTACCAGGGACGGAAACGGAAGTTGGCTATTTTTGTGGCAGCAGAGAATTTTTATTTTTGTTGGGACCATTACTGTGGTAGTAATAAATCAAATGTAGGTGTTATTTTATTTTACATTGAATAAATTGTTTAAAAGGTATTTTTAAAAACCGATGGGAATGTTAGAAAGGAAAGAATAATATGATTATACAAGATGGAGTAGAATGGGTTCTGTGTGTTCCCAATATAAACAACGAAACAATTGTTAGAAAATTATTTATGTTTTTCAGTACAACCTTTATTTGAAACTAGTCACGGAATTTTAAACGCTTACAAATCTTTTTAATGAAACAATTATCAGATTGATTTTAAATTAACAACTTTAAATAAAATTCAGTTTTAATTGAAGTATATATGAAGTTGACCGTACGCTACGAACGAAGCGTGTGCATCATATTTACGCGTTTTAGTTGTGAACACCGAATGTCGGCGGTTATAAATGGCCTCTGGCTATGTGACTTACTGTAACTGTACAATGGGGAATTTTGATAGTCTTTGATGGGTCATCAATACTGGACACGTTTTGAAATTGAGATGCGTTCATCCAGAAATAATGACTGTAATGCTTCAAATACCGTTATGAATCTCCAGAGAGCATAATAGTGTACAGTTGTTTAAAAAAGTTGAATATACGCGTTAAAATATATACAATAAACGAAATAATTAACTATTTTTCTTGTTCGATATTAAATTTTTCTTTATATATAGTATAATAATTTTAACACAGGATAAAAGAGTCATTTTTTATATTATATATCTTAATATTATAATTAATGGAAAAGAAATGATAATTTTTAAATTCTCGCAATGATTACCTAAAAAATATTATTGTAAAGGTTTTAAAAATAAAAACGTGAACACATTTTGGTGTACTGGAAACAAACTGTCTACAAATTTCGAAACAATTAATGGAAACCGCTCTAATCATTATAATCTAAATACTTCCTTAGATACAATTAAAATTGATCTCCAACGGTGCTTGTTACTTCAGAGCAGAAGCTTAAGATTAAAGCGATGTCATTTTAAAGAGCCGAGAATATAACGAGCAATGTAAAACTTTGCTCTAATAGCTTCTCAATTATAAGTATCGTCCTCCGTACTGCAGACCTGCATTAATTGGTTTTTAAGTGGACTCGACTTTAAGAACTAATAATTATCCATGGTTCTCACGGAATATACAAAATGAGTGAAACCGAGTGGAATAAACAAGCATAAATTGATTTCACGTGCAAAACGAAATCAAAAATGTAGAACAACGTTTCTTCGTACAAATCGTCGTTTTCGAGAGAATCGATTTTGAAAATTCACTGGGCGCGTGCAGTAGAATATGACTTGGATATTAACGCAAGTAGAAAGATCGAGTAATGGTCAGACGCGCCAATAAAATCGTATTCACTCGCACGCGTGCCCGACAAATTCTCAAATTCGATTACTCTGATAACGAAGAAATTCTATTCTATACTTTCAATTTGTTTTTGCATGAATAATCGCTCCGTAAAATGTTTAAACTTAATTTAGGAACGACAGAACCCTATAGAAATTCGTTTTTAATTTTAATCGATAAAAATTGTTTAAAAATATTATTTTGAGCATTTCTATAAAATTTTTGTGTCCATTAACGGATATCCATGGACCTAGACAAAACAAGGGTCAAATATTAACGAATAGTAATTTTTTACTCCTGTGTTCTTCATAATTTTAACAAAATTGATTGAAATCGACAGTGACCTGTCGATGCCAGAGGATTCTTCACCCTTGTTTCAGAGTCACATGGGGTTGTGGAGGGTCGAGCAAATTGCTACTTATAAGTCGCGCACGGGCAGACGTCCACAAACTCTAGTAACGAATAAAATCCATTCGTAACAATCAGGGTAAAAAGAATTTTGTTCGAATAAGGTCAGACTTTGTTCGCAGTCGTTTCAATAAGAAGCTAATAATACCAAGCGCCGTCGTTGAAGGCGGAAAATTACGGTAGAAAGAACGACAAGCGGAACGTAAGCTGCTGGCAACTTCACTCGACGATTTCAAACACTTGTTTCAGCCGGATATTACACGATAGAGCAGCGCTCGAAAAAGTATCGAATCATCTTCCTCAACACAAATTTGTGGTTGAACACAGCCGACAACCATACATTGCATCGCTCTGGAAGCACGATCCATAACACGCTCGATCCTTTCGGTCAATGGAACTGGTTCGAGTCGACCCTCGACAATGCTCGAAGGAAGGAGGAAACGGTAAGCACAGTTCCACAGAATTCTATAATATTAACTTTCGAAGCGTGCCGTAACTCTGCATTGTTTGCTTTCGCCTCTGTTATTATTTTTACGAACTGACACAGTTGGAAAACACGATCCAGCAACGGTTTTATATTACAAAGCGAGACACTTTGATTACCGCGATTACCTTAAACAACAGGTAAATTGTGCATTGTATAAAGTATCACTATACGAATACATTCACGGATTTATTCTCTTATGCAACGAAGAATTTTGCATTTACGAAATACAAAGCAGCTCTTTACTATTTCCGAATTTTTAAGAGAGTATCCTAGTTTAAACAAAATTTACTGTTTTATACTAACGTCTATTAATATCTTATCTATCAGCACAAATGTTTTCCAAAGCTCTGTTTTTAATATTCTAAAATTATTATTTGTGTAAATTATATTTTGGACATTTAATCTGCATGGTGAAACTGTTTAATTTTAAAATAAGTAGATTTGAATATCTTTTTTCTTCGAATTCATTATTCTATCAAATTCTGGCATTAAAAATAGGACATTTTACTTGAAAATTTGAAGTTGAACTTTCTCGGGTGACTCCGCCTGGAAAAAGAATTTACACTTCATTTAATATTGCTCTGGAATTTAAGCAGCTTTCGTAGAGAGGAATTCTTGATACAATTAATAATTTACAAGCTATCGTATACCATCGTTAAATCTTACGTAAACTTTTGTTTATATCAAGTATACAGGTTGCGTAATCTGAGAAAATTGTGTATCGAATTTCGGCCTCTAATAAATTAAATTAGTTGTTTAAAAAGTTGCACAGATTTCGCTAAACCGGGATGGAAGATTATTTAATCCTCTCTCGGGATTAAATTTTTTTTACTACCATTATCGAGCACCCTCGAGCGTCTTTCACGGTGCACTTGTAATTCCTGGCGCCAAAGTACTGGATTTATGAGAAAACAATTCATTTTCCTCATTCGCCTCGTACGATATTACTGTAAAACAATGTGATGCGATAAGTATATCATATAATGTCGATTGTTATTTAAAAGTGTTCTTTACTAACGCGAGATACGACTTTCCCAATAAAACTTTCAATGGTTATGAGGTTTGTATAGAATGTATTTATGACTGTACGCAAGGTTCAAGGAGGTATGAGAGAAGTTGAAATTTATAGTGAAAGCTAAGCACCCGTGAACCCGGTGTGGGATTGTCGCCAATATCTTGGAACACATTTTCTTCGATATTGCTTCTTCGACGTCTACGACCGCGATTTTTAAGGGGTCAGAGGAAAGGTTTGCGTTTGAACAATATTTTTTTTAACATACACTATCGTCCAAAAGTTCGAAGTCAGTGAATAAATCAATCGAAACAGGATCGTATCTAATTTAGAGACGAATATGGGTGTTTAAAATCACGAAGGAAATTTTATTTTTCAAGAAACTAACACGCAACGGTGTACACCTTTTTGAAAAACTGCTGTAGCAGTCTGGTGTTAAATTCCACGCAAATTGTGCGAAAACCGAGTCACCGTATAACGAAAACAACTGACTTCCTGTTAATAAAATACAAAAAGTTGTGGATCGAAGCGAAGGTAGCAGTTATAAATTTTCTGCTTAACCCCATTGTTTCTCTGAGTTACAGTACACCTTTTTACTCCTTCCTTTACACTAGGAACATACTAGTTTTTTTAGGCAACGCAGAATAACGCGAGGAACATAACGTTACGCAATAGATGAAATAAAAATTATAAAACACCTATAAAAATTTTAATTCTATTTTGGGTCTATGGACACTAGGAGATTCGAGTAAGATATTAAATATTGAATTTGTGGTATCAAAACTTACTGATCACGTATGAAATTCAGGTAGAAAAATACGTACGACAAAATTACAAAATATGAGGTCAAGCACTACGTCAGTCAACATACGACTCAACTACAGTTCATCACGAAATTTTCGCATTATCAGTGAAGCTTCCCGAGTAACCAGCTTAATTACAAGACACTTTATAACTACGTCTGTGCATTCCCGTGGGTACGGTGTAATTGAAATACGACCATACTTTGCTATAAGTATACGAAAGCTCTTCAGCAAAAATCTTCAACATGTTCGTGCAAAAACTGTTTGCTTTCGCGTTCAAATGAAATGTTTGCATTCCTACCAACCCCATCTTTGTTCGTGCGTACGTTCCATTTTTAAAACAAACTTTCTCGCATCCAAGTTCCCGGTGCGTCTAATTCTGCGGAACGTCGAATACCGGATTCCCGTTTTATGCAAAAACATTGTGGCGAATCAATGTTCACCGTGAAATTTTCTCCCGGGGTTTGGCATCTCCTAGGAAACTACTGAAACTTAGAGGTAACTGTAAACTTTTAATTACCGCGTCAAAGAACACCACTTTCGTTTGAACATCCCCCGGGATTTGAAACGAGAGAGGAGAGAAATTCGACAAGGATGATCGGAGTATAAACAATTCGCAAAAATAATGACGGTCGTCGACCAATGATAGAATAATATATATTCGTCGTTTTCGACGAACCGAGTCTACGCGTAACAATTTTTACTACGAAGGGCTAAACGACAGTATAAAGGATATTTTTCTACCGCGGTAACATTTTTCGAGATAAAAAATTCACGGAAAATTTTTCCAAGCGAGATGGCGTATTTTCACCACCGTTGTGTTGCATCTAATAAAAAGAGAAATTTCGCCGTGCGTGATTTATAATTCCCGAAAAAGATGTGCAAATAATCTGTCATGTTATTCTTATAAATAATAACATGAAGGCTGAATTCTTTTTTATCTTACAAATATTCAAAACGAAGTGACAATTTTAACGAATTTTGAGATGAGGATAAAATTAGTTTTTCCAAATACTTTTAACAGATTCGGACAACATAACGCTATACATACAAAATTCGAAAAAACGAGACTCGTTAACTGGCTCCAAAACGATGAACCAATTCCAGAAACCGAGGACTCTATAATAGCTATACAAAACCCAGTAATTGCCACAAGAACCTGCCAAAAACACGTAATAAAGGGCACCAACTCGGACAGATGCAGAAAACACCACATTGCGCAAGAAACAATTGTCCAGGAGGATGCAAAACATTAGTAGCAACGCGATGTACAGACCGATGCAACATCGAAATAAAAATAATGCAAGGTTTGGGTAAAGCGTTGGAATTAGTACAAGAATTAGTATAGAGGCTAAACAATTACAGCCAGCAGACTGGATATAATGCTTAAAAATAAGTAACAAAAGGGTTTGTAATTAACAGACGTATCATTTTCCAAAACAGAGACGTCTTTGCAGTGATTTTTTCGCTGGTATATAAGTTATAAATATGGTATATTTACATTAATTGGAAGTTATGACATTTATATAAAAAATGTTTACTTGTCGTACGTTCTATACAATGTGTATTGTTGCTATTATTCTTTCATTCAAAAACAAATATGGCGGTCGACTGCATAAGAACTGATGGCCAGAGGTTTGAAACAAAATTTGAACAATAGAATATTATATAAATATAAATTGAATATATAAAGTTTTTTAGTCTCTTGTTTGGTTGAAAAATAAAAAGCAACGGGAACATAGCCTTTTATTTGTATAAATCGGATAAAAATTAAATTATTGTATGAAGTCTACACCATTAAAAACGACGTTCACCATCCCGCCATAGTTTACTCTCGACCGCATATTTGTTTTCGAAGACAAAATTGAAAAAAAATTTCTATACACTATGCGCATTCATCGTGTGCGTTGTTATTGAAATGTTTGAAAGGGAAATTGTCTTTTTATTATTTAAAAATAAATTGTAAAAATAATACTATTTCACAAATACAAGTACTATCAAAGTACATAATTTGACTTGGTAGTCAAGGCAGGTTATATATTTTTCTCAGAAAACAAACAATAAAAATAGAAGCGAATATTGACAAACTTCATTGTACGTATGCTACAACAAAAAGTCGAAAAGTTATATGGCGTTAAAATAACATTGTACGTTAGAAATTCCAACCGAAATCTTTAAAATGGTCGTTCGTGGTAGCTTTAGTGCTAAATCGACGGCGGTGAGCTTACGAACGAATCTGAAATTTTTATTCGTCATCCGCGAATAAAATTTGCCCCAAGTTTGCTCGTAACGTGACGCCTCAGGGCACGCGCCTCTGCCTCATCACGATCTTGATCCTATTCGAAGTCTGCGAACGGAACAAGTATGGCGCGACGAAAGTGGGCCATCTTAGTTAGAACTGCAGCGACTTCGTCTTTGAGACAGCCGAGTGTTTCGGAGGGCCCGAGAGTCGAAAAATTCAACTACGGTCGTAATTATCCTCTCCTCCCTACCCCCCGTTTATCAAACGTTGCGTCGCGAGTCAGACCGTTGCTCGTTAGATTATAACAGACAGAGGGGGGGCGATAGAAGTAACGCGAAACGATATTATTTGCGTCTTCCTGGGGATCCGACGCGCGCGTCGTGTAGCACAAAGGAACTCGTGGATACATCGCGCGCTGATAAAGGGTGCGAATGTTCCTAGCCGGGGGCTTGAGTATATTTAACTTGCAGAATGGTTCCCCCTTTGCGCGGCTACGGGGAGTTCGATAATTAAAAGGATCAAGCTCGCTTCGGATACCGAGACGCGCCCGGATACCGTAAAACGAGCCTGCGAAATCTGAGTCAACGAGAGGCTATACGTCGAAAAGTTTATCGACGAAACGTCAATTCGGAGAGGGTTATGGGCAGGGGGATGAAAATCCTTGGATGCGAGGGAGGGGCCGGAGGTATCAATGCCAACGCCGCTTCGTTTCCTCCGCTTTTGGTCTCTGTTGCGATAAATTATTTTACACGGGATACGGTTACTGGGACGACAGGCTATCAGTCAATAACAGAACTTCCGGTCCCCGGAACTTTATAGTCTGAGAGCAACCGTTGAATCCCCTTTCTCCGCGCCGGACACGAAGTTACCGAGGAAATATTAATATTCGATATTGTTCG